AAAGGCCTCAAAAACGCCGCTATTTTTTCTTTTCTTTTTTGACCTTCTTCATTCATTTACAGTTGGGCGCAGCGGCTTGACTTACATGCACACTGGCATGTTCCAGATATGTTGCTTCGTGTGCGAGTGTGTGTGAGCAACATGTGCGTAGAACAGCCTTCCCGGGATGGAAGGATACTTGCTTTGCTCATCGCCGCTCTAATGCTCACTGACAACTTAATAACATCACAATTAACTAAATGCTAAGCAGATGCCAGTGCTGGACTAATGTGATTGAGACGATCGGCACTTTTGACGTGACCCCTGTGTAGCGCTGCCATTGGCCTAATTTGCTTGAGTGACATGACGGGACGCTGTGTGTTAGTAGTGTGTGTGTGTGTGTAAAGTAAAGAGGTAACGCAGCTAAAGAGAGATTCTTTTTTTTTCTGACCATCGTAACCTTTGTGCCCCCTCCTCCCCCACCTCCTTATCCGCTTTCTCTTTTCCTCTCTCGACCCTCTCGCCTCCCTACTTTTCTGCCGCTCGCTCTCCGGCCAAACTATTTCTGGCTTGAGAAAAGAAAGTGTTTACGCTGCGGCGGAGAACTGCTGGAATCACGCTGTGTTCCCACTGCCTAAACCCACTGTTGCCACTCCATGGTTTGCATATTTTCCCTGTATTACAAGACTATAACCAAAAGGACAGAGGGAGATAAAAAGAGAGCGAAAGAAAGAGAAAGGCGCACGTGAGCTGCCTCCCCCTCCTATTATATGTGGAGTTGTGTGTGTCTGTATCCGTGTGTGTACACGGAGCCGATTCACGTACAAACAGAAACAACAGGTTCGGTCGGACAAAACAAATTCTTATGAGGCTTGTGGACTCCCAGCTCATTCCTACGCGGCTCACATGGGAGAGATGGAGTTGTTTCCGCCCTGCAGCTCATGTTGAATAAGAGGGAACCGCTCGTACTGAAGGTAGCTTTGGTCTGACGGGCGAATGTACAGATTTTTTCTAAAATGGAAATCAAACAGCGAGCACTTGTGTATACACACTTCAGAGTGGCAGTGATGTAGAGCCTGCGAGACGCATGAATCAGAGGGAGAGCAATCTGCATTTGTTTAAATCTCCGGCAAGACTTAAAAACAAAAGAAAAAAAGTAATTTAACTTCAATTTATTGCATACTTTCTTTGCTTGCAAGCCACTGTCTCTTTGAACATATTCTGACCTTTTGCTTTCTCTGCGCCGAGCAACAGTTTAATCAAGTGGAATGCGAGCGTGGTGGGCTTCACCAATAAAATACAAGGGCTATAAATTATGGCGGGGAGCGAAACAATCTAATGACAAAAATAAATGAAGATGGCTGGCAGGATGACAGAGATAACGGCAGAATGAGGAAAACTGCAGCTCAGAGCTCAGATGGGTCTTGTGCAGCCCGACGGGGGAGAGGCTTTGCTCAAATGCAAATTGAAAATGACACATTGGAGTTGGCCGTGTTTCAATGAGCACAACAGTTGCCCAATACGACATGCTGGAGTGGGACAGAATCCACATTATATCAGTGTTGAAAACAGTCAAGAGCTGATTTCACAAAGATGGAGGATCAGCAGTAACAGCTTTTCTGTCAGAAGCTACTTTTTAAGTAACCCGTGATTTACTAACAAAAAACGTTCCAAGATTTAAAACACAGACGGATATCAAGAATAACTATATTAAACAATAACCAAACTTAAATGTAAGCTGTTCTGCTCCTGTCAATGGATGAGCTCACGTCATGAGATGGAAGAAAATATAAGCTTCATTAATCGATCAAATATTAAGTCAATCGTGCAAATACAACAGGTAAGTTTGTCATTTGAGAAAAACACCTTTCAGACTTTCTGAGACAGAATTTCAAAATAAAATTACATTTTGCAGCAGTCTCATATCAGCGCACGCATTGCATTCTGCTTCCTGCGAGTCATCTGACATTCACATGATGAAATGGAGCTCTCCACCAGGAAATTCATGTAGCTTTAAATATCTGCCAAGGATGCATCACTAGGATTTCAGTCTAAGCGCATACATCAAATAACAACCGGGAGGACGCGGGACAGAGACAGTAGCAAAGTACTTTCAACAACTGTTAATGAGAGCAGTGTTTTTCTTGCTCCATGGAAGTCAGACAGACTGTGTTCTTTGCTTGGGAAAGCCCTGAGGCGAGTCCCAGCCTAAAGAGATTATGGGACCGATGCTATGCCATCCAATTTGGGGGAATATAGGACAAAATGAGCCCCTCAGTAGATGAAGTGCGTCTTCACAAGTGACTTCGCCTTGAAATACGTGCGATCCTGGATTTCTTTTTTGTGTACCCCCCGAAACCTCAGTCGCCTCCAATCATGACTTTCTATGTGTCCCACCCACGGTTTGAAGGCCGTGGCGTAACGCGAGGGCAGCACTGTTTAAAAGCAAGAGTGGGACCGGCAAACCGGGAAGGAGACAGAGGTTGAGTCAGACTGCAGCTGATCAGGCCAGCAGAGGAGATGCCACAATAGTCCCCATTCAAAGCAGCAAGAAACGGCCACAGAGTCCAAATATTGTCATCAGGGAACATTAGCCAAGGGCTGAAACGCTGCCAAGAGGCAGGCGGAGATCAAATCTGGCCTTGATGGCCAACAGTAACCCCATGCTCCCACCACCCGCCCTGTCTGATGTTCTGCGTCTTGGGTACTGTACACACAGACATTTCTGTATAAATAAATCCGTGTTTGTTAAGCTTTCTAGCTCTGATTTAACACATAACTGTCCAGTAGGGCGCATTTTGCATTTTTTTTCAGTTGTAGTTTTCTTTGTAGATTCCTGTAGGTTCTCCTGAGATAATAATATTTCGATTTTCTTGACGCATTATGAAGAAAATAAAAATTGAGGCAAAAATGGGGCAAAAACGACCTTTAGATTTCCTATGAAGCCGTGGCTGAAGAGAGTTGGCTGAATGGAAGCCAAATAGACTTTTCCTACAGTAAAACCAGGACGGCACTTTAGATTTTACATATCGCACTTCTTATTCGTCTGATGTGCCGCGTCAAAACAAATGTGACAAACTCCTATTAGGTCTCCGCAAAGGCCAGTGTGCGAGACAGAGGAAGGCAGCTGTTTGTTTACCCCTTTCCATCTCGCCTCATCAGTCACTCCCCTGCTGCAGAGAGACGAACCAGCCAAATGCAGCCAACCTTCAGCTCACTATTGATTTTGAGAGTCGTCATAGTGACGGCAATCAGTGAGTCCAATATCGGGCCATTTCATAACACAGGTGTACAGTAGCTTAAAGTGCACGGAGACAGAACTACGCGGTGCGGTGAAAGTGCCTTGTCATATTTCACAAGAGCCCGTTTTTCAGAGGCTGATCCCTGAGAGGGGCTCAACACACGGATGATTACTATACTATTACTGCTGCTCCTGCTGCTGCGCCAGTTGTCTGGCAGGAAGAGATGTCTGGCCCCGGCTGCGTTCATCGTCCCCCACCCAACCCTCAACCCCTATCATTCATTCCAGACTGAAATGCCTATATTTAGAGTGCTGCTTTCCGCTGTTATGGCTGTTGGATCATTAGCCTCATTCAACCCTTTTTTTTTTACCTCCATAGAGCGGACTGGCTGAGGAGGGGGGGGGGGGGTGCAGGAGTGGATGCAAGGGGAGCATGCTTCTCGGAGCCTAAGGGTCACGCCTGATAAAGGACACAAGATGATGATAATTACGATGTGTGGTTATTTTGGGGATGGGGTTGTTGGCATGAATGAGCCCCCTTTTCTCCCATTTCATTTTGTTTGACGTGCCGGAGCAAAGTTGACCTCGGTGGATCGGTTAGCGGTTGCCACCGTGACCTTTCCTCTGTTGGGGCAAGGTTTTCAAAAACAAAACCCAGACCTGAGGAGTTGGTCAGGCATGTGCGTGCTCCCCAGAGGATAAAATGCTTCCAATTCGGACACCCCCCCCCGTGGGCCCCGCCGCCCACCCCCGTGTCTATTTATGGAAGCGATCACAAACTATTAGCCGGACTGGCAGTAGATTTTGATGGCTTTTCCTCCAGCACCACTCGTAACGCAGCATTTACACTCTGCTCATGTATTCTGACTACAATAACAATCCATTACACACTGTGTTCAACACTACACAATACAGTCCATATTTAAACTACACCAGTGTCATACCAACTTATACATTTCCTATACAAACTACCTATATCTGTGGTGTGCTACAGTATCAACATCTCATTAGCAGTAGTATCTTGGCATGTATACGCAACTAAGAGGAAGTTGTTGATAGGGTTTTATCCATCTTTGATCTGGAGCATTTGTCCAAAATGTTTGCGGAAAAGTCCAAATCCGATCCACGGATAAACGCAACTAAGAGAAATCAAATTAGTAGGAAAGACACAAAGAGAACGCACAAACAAACGCTTGCCCCGAGCACTCCATCTCGGTTACAAAGTGGTAGGAATCTGAGACTATCTCCCGCCCCAGATGAAAGAGCACATCTCTGTTCTGGGCCATCACACATCTGCTGAAGGGGGATTTACTTCTTCCTATTTACATCTTGGCACCTAGGTCGTCCTCATCTTCCCGTCTTCATAGCCGAGCACTGATAAACAACATCGGCCTGCCAAGTTCGCCCAGTTTGTTGATTACTGTCGATTTAGGGCGACTGGGACTAATCCAAGATGATGCGATGCCTCTCTCCGTCAATCCGTGGCTCCAGTTGGCCAGAGAGGGCTGAGTGAGCCTCCGCGCCCACCGCAGCACAACATGCAGGCTGATTTGTGCAAATATTCAAATCGTTTGGACGTGCGAGTGGGACCTGATGATTCAATGTGATCGCAATGTTTCTCCCTCTGACTTTCAGTTAATTAAAGTACGGAAAAAATGTGCATTCATTTAAGTAATCTACAAAAGGAAACAAATGTAAAGATGTAGATGGAGCAGAAGAGCCGGTTCCTCTATTTCTACGTCTGTGGGTCCAAGACGCCTGGCGCTGTGTGCGTTCATACCGGTGTGGATCTGCCGATGAGCCTCCAGGGATTCCTCCGTTTGGAACTGGGCACCACACTGGTCACAGACTATGGCCTTCTCACCAGCTGCACAAAAACAAGAAACAAGAGCGTGGAGGCTTATTATTCATTCACAAACTCAACAGATGAGAAAAAAGGGCATCTTTTGTCATTAAAAAAATTCACTTGAAACGGTCTAGTTTAAGAGAAAGAATGCAAACATTTCGCACTCTGCAGGGTATGTTTTGAACTTTGAAGAAATACAGTTATATGCAATATAAGTGTTTGAATTTTAGCTCCAAAAGAAAAGAAAGAGAAAGAAAAAGAACAAAGTGTGTAAGGCAAACAGTGGCAAGAGGGGTCACCTCCTCCATCTCCGCAAATTTGCCTTAAATCCTTTGTATATATATTTTATTTCACCGAGTCCGAATTCATATTCATACTCAAGCTCTACTCCTTTACAAATCTAATGTATCTAAGCTCCAAATCTATGGACATTTTAAAAAAAAAAGTCATGCCAATATATGTCATTTACACCTTTACTTCAGCGCCTGCACAAACTGTGTCGGCTCAACATGCTGATACGTCTTGCTCATATCTCAAAGAGATTAAGTAAGTAATCGTTGAATGCACCCCACTCAGTGTGTGTGTATATGTGTGTGTGTGTGTGTGTAGCCTTAGCCCTACTGTATGAGCTGGATTGTCATGTTCCCCTTTATGAATGTGCACAACCTTGTACAATAAAAGGAGAGACAAAGTATTCCAACATGCACAGATACAGTACAGGGCCGTGTTGAAGGACACGTCAGATCAGGCTCGGGCAAACAACTTTTTACGGCTTGGCAGCAATCACTGAACACGGCGTGCACATCACACATCAAATAAACGCGCACGTACACACACAAACACACACACACACACGTAACATCTGGATACTGTGTGTGTTCAAAACATGGGTGGATGTGTGTGCGAGTCTTTTTCCAGTGCAAGCACAGGGCGATCTCTCCCGACCAGACCTTGATTTGTTCTTGGCACGTCCTCCTGGGTTACGACACCTCCGCAGAGAGAAAAGGAACACAATGAAAACAGGAAGCCAATTCTTAGATGACAGGGGGGAAAAAAAAAGTCTGGGAGAGATGGCTTGTGCGGTTTTTGCAGCCACAGTGACATTAGGGAACGGGCTGTACTGTAATAAGCCCAAACCAAAAGCAGAAATGACCCAGACCGTACACGACGCAGTGTGCCTGCCAGTGCAGCGCTTATGCAACAAGTTATGCAAAAGGCGGCAGGCTGCACAAGTGAGCGCGACTGCCATAAGCCACTGCAGCGCAACCTTGAAAAAAAACAAGGGTTTATCGAGGTGCGATACACAGCATTTATTTCCATTTGGCAGCTTTCGACTTAATAGACTGAGGTGGTGAGAAAATGTCCCTTTTAATTGGCTGCATATTCAAGAGGCATAATTTGTAGTGGGAGCGTATGGCGTGCCGGTGTCAAATGCACAGATGAGCATATGGCTGAATTAGCTGGCGAAAGCAGCCACTTAACCTTTGGAGAACAAGACGTGTAGTGGAGATGTAGACAGAATCCCCCAACACACCCGCTGATGTCCCTAATTTGCATTAATCACACAGCCCCTCTGTTGCTTCTTTAACTCCCTGATTCATCATTGTTGGATAAACTGTAATTATAATTTATTTACATGCTGCTGTGGCTCCGCTCAATTGCATGGGACTCTTTCCATCATATTGATTGGAGCTCATTGATTACCCTTGCACAGGCAATTTTATGACTACTAAAGTGCAATCCACTCCATCATGTGCTACTCAGACTAATGTCAGTGCTCAACACAGGTATACTTTTTAAAAAGTTTCTAGCCCATTAATTCCTTTCATCTATGAACATCAATCTGCAATTAATTGAAAGTAGAAATAAGTTTCATGTCAAGCAAGTTTCAATTGACTATTTCCCTTCTTTTATTGCCCCCACTGAGGTGCCCTTTGAGCGGGGTACTTAACCCAGCTGCCCCAGGAGGGATCCTCAGTGGCCAACAGATCAAACTGTGCCGCTTCCAGGTGTGAACGCGTACAACTGTGCGAGTGGGTCGCTAAGTGCTCCTCACATGTGACCATCTACTCACCAACAAACGGACAACAATGGCTGCCTGGAAGGGCAGGAAGAACACGTTGCCAACTATGGGCTGTAGTTTTGTAAAACGCAAGTGATTTGTGGTGAATCAGCGCAACACCAGCACGGCTCCGAGTAGCGCCTCACAGACAGTGGTGCAACACCACAGCCAGTCTCCTGGGGGGGCCAAGACGCGTGTGCTTATGAGGGCCACGGATAGGATTTTAGTGCGGGGGCATGCCCCTGCTTGTGGCACAAGGACATAAATTGTCAGGAAATGCCTGCATGGTGCATTGCTTCAATGAGAACAGAGTTGTGTGGGGTCACTGGGGGCCAAATAGGGGGGGTAGGGGGGGGGGGGTAACCCAGGGTGCACACAGCCGAGCAGCCACCCAGCCAGATGCCCGTCACTCCAGTTAGCCAACTAAGTGCTAACAGGGGGCCCTCTGCTTGGTAACAGCCGCCATCAGCCATTTTCCTTGCCAAATTAAAGTGATAAATCTTAAAGGCTCCTTAGAGCGCAGGAGGGTGAACTTGTTAGTTGGGAGAGACGGGGTGCGAGGGGACAGGACGCGCACACACTACACATCAGCTCCCGTCGCGTGCGTTTTAATAATCCGTCAACATTAAAACGTCAGTCTCCTCAAGGGCCCAAAACAAAGCAAACACTGCAAACTTGAAATATAACAACAGGTAAAGAAAAAATACAAAATGGACCAAATAAAAACAAGGAATCTCAAAATGTTGGTCCCCTCTGTAAGTGGGAGCCCTTTGTCACATTGCCACAGATTGGGCTCTAAACGGACATAATAGAAGTTGCACAACGCGTGTCGTGTGCGTGTGTGGGTGCGTGTTGGGAGGTGGGGAATGGGTGGCGATCAGGTGCCACATGCCGCTGAAGCCGCTTCCCTTTTCGCTTCCCTCTCTGAAATATTGCACAACTGTTGTTGCAGCGCAGTGCTGCTCGGTTATTTCATAAAGGGCAGTAAACGAGAACAAGGCACCCTGCCAATCAAGCAGGCTTCCTGCAGAGCCTTGCAGCATGGAGCAATATAACTGCCCCGGCGATACTGTAAACTGGACCAACTGGACGACTACCGTTGGCTCGAGTTGAATCGAGGTAATGGCACCACTTCCTTTGCATTAAGCAAGAGCATTTCACCTAAAACGCAGCTTCCCTTACGACGGGCAACATTTCACCCCGTAGGCGTGATCAGGAGGATTTCGGATTAGCCCACTGAGCAGGCCTCCAGGGGAAGTGATGGTGCATTCCCATGCCTGTAATTTCCCCTGACATACTAAGTGCTCGTTCTCCTATTTCCCTAAATAATGTGGTGCGCACTGGCGCATTGTCCGATCTGCTGTTACACACATTGCGCGTGTGTGCGCGGAATCTGAATGGGGGGAAAAGCGAACCGCATCCAGAGACGAGGACCGGGAGTAAAAAAAAACTAACCTCAATGCCCATTTGGGGGGGGGGGGGGGGGGGTTGTTGGGAGTGTGATAAGTGCGTTTTGGGTGCAACAACACCCGCACTATCGTCCCTCACATCGCCCAGCTCGGCTATGTGATCTCATAATGCCGCCATTCAGACGCTCTCCTCATTCAAAAGAACATGTCAGGCACAGAGAAAGGCCCCGTTTGTTCGCGGTGGTGGTCCTGCTTTTCTGTGCCTCTCGCGGAGGACTAAATGTTTGTTTTTGTGACGGTGCGCCCACACTCAGACGTGACACTTGTTGCTCCAACCTACTTTCGTTTCGCAGGTAGAGCAACTATGCCAAGTTCGCAACAGATGTCTCCCCCCTTTGGGGATTGCAGTCTAAACAGAATCTTTTATCAAAGACAAAGGCGGAATTAAACATAAGAGTTGGAGAGCCGGTCTTTGCTTAAAGCGACACACATAAAGTGGGCCACCGAGTTGTCAGGAGGCATTTCAAACATTTCATCCCACACAGGAGATGCAGGAAAAAAAAACGGTTTTGCCGTTAACCACTGCGGGTCCCTTTGCAGTCCGCCGACGCTTACAATCTTCCCGTTAAATTGTCTTTTTTTTCCACCAGCTAATCATGTTACTTAAATGATTTCATTATGAAAATAATTGAACATGGAGGTTAACGTGGAATCAGCAACGCCATGCAAATACCTTCGGTTTCCCGCAATGCAGTTATTAAAACCGGTTGTCACATGGTCTCACATGCCCACTTAGCATGAGATGGCATGACCCTATTTAGCATCCATTAGACACAAAACAAAATCCCGTGTAAGAGCTTCCACGTTGGGGAAACAGAGCTCCACTGTTCCAAGAGAATAAGCCCGCTGTGATACGTAAAATGCTCAATTCAACGTGGTCAACAGCTCTGATGACAGCCGTCTATTTCTACACCGTGGTCCAGCCGGGAAATGTACCTTTACTTTCTTATCATAAAATCTTTCAGCACCGCCACTGGCACAGTGAGCATATCCGGCTAGTAGTTTGCCGGAAATCATTTATGCATTTTTGTTGATATTTTTTATTCAGCATAAAAAAAAAGGTCTGGCATTTTTGGAGCTTGCGGAATGCAAAGCTGTCGTGCAACAGGAAATTAAAAAGGTCCACATGTTTTATTACAGCATGGTTGAATCTCAGATAATATTCTCCTGTGCCGAGTTAGAATGGGGAAAAAAAGGACTCTTTATTTACTCACATTTCTACGAAAATACGCAGGCCAAACTGACCTACATAAAAGTCACTGTAGTCAAACATTGAAAAACACGATGTGAATAACTGGAATTCGGATTGCATGGGTGGATGCAAAGGTTAACTTGACGTGAGAAAGCTTCAGTTCAGCTTTTTTCCACTCCAATTCCTGCGCAGCATTGGTTCTAGACGGGTGGGACACACTTTACTGTACTGCCAGACATTTCTGGGGGAAGTAGCTGAATGATCCGTTCTCAAGAGTCAGGGAGGCTAAATGGGAAAT